CCCTATTCTTAGTCTTCCTTCCTTTATGAGGTTTTTGTTTCTAGTCCTTAACTTAAACATTGTTATTGTTATTAAATTTTAAGCCTTTTAAATTTTGTGAAGGCAAAAGTGGAAACCTAATAAACACATGTATATGTAAGGAATAAAAAATAAATTAAATAAACCTGAGGCCAACATAAAAAAAAAAAAAAAGGTAAAGGAGAAAGAAGTGATTATAGGGAAGCCAAATAGGGGGATCTTTTAGCCTTTCAGAATACCCTTTCTCCTATTTCCACCTTTATAATGCCACAAGAACAAGGATGGTACATTTAATACAAATCCTCCAAAATTTGGATATAAGCTGTTAGTGAAAAAATATTTGGAGGTGAGCAAGAAATAGTAGACGAAGCATTCCAGCCTGGCAAAGAAAAGTCAAATTATATCCTATCCAATTTGAAAAGCATATGTCCTAGTAAAAGTAACATTTGTATTAGGTTTAGTGGGTTTTTTAAAAAATGTACTTTCCTCAATACATTTTTCAGAGAGCATCAAATTAACTGGAATCAACAAATATAATGATTGTTAAAACATCAATGTAGGGCTGGGTGTGAAGGCTCATGTCTGTAATCCCAGCACTTGGGAGCATAAGGCAGGTGGATTGCCTGAGCTCACAGGTTCGAGACCAGCCTGAGCCAGAGTGAGATCTTATCTTTAAAAATAGCCAGGCATCGTGGCAGGTGCCTACAGTCCCAGCTACTCTGGAGTCTGAGGCAAGAGAATTGCCTGAGCCCAGGAGTGAGCTACGATGCCACAGCACTCTATTAAGGGTGACAAAGAAAGACTCTGTCTCAAAAAAAAAAGTAATAATGACTAGTATGATATTATGATGCATCCTATCACTGGACAAACATTTTTAAAAATAGTTCCTACTCCCCTGAAGAAGGAATAATACTCACTTCTCACCTGTAAAGACTTAGCAATTTATATATTTTTTAAAAATCACAGCTTGCCTTTTAATCTTTCAAAATGAAGATTTATGACCAACAAACTTAAGTCTTACTTAGTACTATAATAGAAAAGCGTATTTTTAAAAACCTTTCCAAAAAAGAGGAAAGAGAAAAGCCTTGCTGAAGGCTGAAAAATAAACTTAGTATAAAAATTTTTAAAAAATCAAAAGATTGGTATTAGAAGTTTTAGGAAGAATATAAATTGACCAACATCAAAGGTCTTCATTAAAATCTTATTATGTGTCTCTGTGAATGGCAGTCTACATACCTTAAGATAAAAATTATGAGAATCGCATCTTATTTCAGTGGTTCTACCATTCTTTTAGCTTCCTAAATATAAAACCGTAGTGATGGCACAGACTTTTACCCCCATTGTTTTCTGTAATAAATCATCATGTTCTAATATTTTTTCTCTAAAAATGTCTCTTTTGAATACAAAGCAAAATTCCCAATTTCAAAAGAACACATACAAAAAAAGAAATGTTCCAACCAGTAAAAAGAATGCTTTTCAAAGAATGGATAATACAGATGACATGCTGAGTCAAGAAAAAAACTCAGTGGGAGAAAACTGTATAATCTCAGTTTTTTGAGACAGAGTCTCACTTTGTTGCCCTTGGTAGAATGCCTTGGCATCACAGTTCACAGCAACCTCAAACTCTTGGGCTCAAGAAATTCTCTTGCCTCAGCCTCTCAAGTAGCTGGGACTACAGGTGCCCACTACTACAAAGCCTGGCTATTTTTAGAGATGAGGTCTCTCTCCGGCTCAGGCTGGTCTTGAACTCCTGAGCTCAGGTAATCCACTCCCTTGGCCTCACAGAGTGCTAGGATTATAGGCCTGAGCCATGGTGCCTGGCCATAATCTCAGTTTTATAAAAAGGAAAATAGTTATCAGCATAAAAAGGACTTGAAAGAAATCACAACATTAAAATATTAACAGTTCTGCTTGGGAAGTTTTATAAGTGATTTTTAATTTTTTCCCCACACTTTCTCTACATTTACAATGAACATGCATTATTTTTAAACTTAGAAGTTATGTAAGTGTCTCATTTATCACTACTTGTATATTCTCCTTGTTCCGCCATCAATCTCTTACAGCCTCTCCCCTCCCCAGGACTCCAGAAACAGCCTTCTTTTTGAGGTATCTGAGCCAGCTTCTCCCTAATGTTAGTATCGCTTAGACCTGGGCTCCTAAATTCACCATTCATACCTATCCACAGAACATGAAAGCAGAGGCTGGCCTTACAATCAGCTTACAGTGGAGTTTCTCAACCTCAGCACAACTGACATGTGCAGTAGTCATTTCTTATGGAGGAGCTGTCCTATTGTAGGATGTTTATCAGTATTCCTGGCCTCCAGCCAGTAGATGCCAGTAGCACCCTTCCCCCACAGTGTGACATTCATTGCCAAATGTCCCCTGGGGGGCAAAACTGCCCCAGTTGAAAACCACTGACATAAAAGTTTTAAAACTTCCCAACTCATATCTTGCTTTCTGCTCATATAAACATACAAAAAACAAAAAACAAAAAATCCCTAACATATGTCTCTTATACAACATTCCTCAGTCTTGCCCCAAATATCTTATTTTTCTCAACAGGAACTTTCTAAATAGAACAGACTTACTGTTTCCCTAGAAAAATCATGTTTATTCCTAATTCTAAGTCTTTGAACACACTGTTTTCTCAATAAAATTCCCCATGCACCCTACTATTCAATGCCCTACACAAATCCTTTAATTGTTAGTTCTTAGAAGAAGCTTCACTCACTTCATTTCAACATTCATCCACTGTACTAATGAAGACTATCATATATACCTTTTGTTGTTGTTCATTTCACATCCTGAATTAGATTAACCTTCCTAAGGTTGGCTACTCAGACACATTTATTTTGTATAGCCGATTAAATCCACCACTATGCTGGGCACGGAGACAATCAAAAGCTTGATAAGTGATGAACAAAATTTTATTTTTTTTTCTCATAGTACTTGGAAGTTCAAGATGAATTGAACAAAATTTTAAAACTCTGCTATAAATGACTTATTATGAAATGATTTTAGTTTTGAATTTCATTTCTTGTCAGAAAGCTTAAAGCTCACTCCGCAAGTTTTTAAGAATGAAAACATTAATGTATAATTGTTTATTTTAAAGTAATACATAGGCTGCTAACATTAACACTTTTGGGAAATGATAAAAATAAATTAAAAATATAAATTATGGCTGGGCCCCGTGGCTCACACCTGTAATCCCAGCATCTTGGGAGAGTGAGGCAGGAGGATTTTGTGAGGATGACCAGCCCTCACAAAAGTCTCTACAAAAAAACAGAAAAATCAGCTGGGTGTGGTGGTGTGCTCCTACAGTCCCAGCTCCTTGTCAGTAGTTCAAGCCACTCAGGAGGCTAAGGCAGGAGGATAATTTGAACCCTCGAGTTGGAGGATGCAGTGACATACGATGACTACTGCACTCTACCAGTGTCCACAGAGCAAAACTGTGTCAGAAAATAGAGAAGAGAGAAGAGAAGAGCTGAGCCATGATGGCACACTCTTGTAGTCCGAGCTATCCAGGAGGCTGAGGCACAAGGATTGAGTATAGCTTGATCCCAGCCCTGGAATTTAAGGTTGCAGTGAACTATGACACCACTGTACTCTAGCCTGGGCCACCAAGACCCTGTCACAAAAATAAATAAGCAAATAAAGAAATAAAACCACAGAAACCTTATGAACTCCATTTATTTTAAAATATGCAATGGATTTTTTTGTCCAGGCACAAAACTTAAGTATGGTCAACAAGACACAGAACCCGAGTGGTGTGTGAATGAACGAGTGTGAACACAAAGGCACATTCACATATCTATCTCCAAAGAAGAAATGAAATGAAAGCACTTTGTCAAGACCCTCATCTAAAGTAGGCAGTAGAGTAGCATAATTAAAAGCAGGGAGCCAGCCTGCTTGGGTTCCAGTGATACTAGCTGAGTAATCTTGTTTGGTACGAGTTACAGTATTTAACTTCCCTGTGCCTCAGTTTCCTCACTGTCAAAATGGAGATAATATCTGTCCCAAAGTTAAGTTCTTAATACAGTGCTTAGCACAAAGAAAGCACAAAAAAACCCTGGACATCATTATTTTTACAACGGCTAATATTATTATTAGCTAATATTAGTTATTAGCCAAGTAAAAACCTCCATGGGTAAAGTTCTAATTCACGTCTGACGCAGGTTTAAACAAAAACAATTTTACACAAGTTTAAGCTATTAAGTGGACTGGTTTCAGAATTCTTGTAAGTTCTAAACTGGTGATTATTACCAGTTTAGATCTAATTTCCCTTACAATTTTTTTTTAATCTGCAAAGAAACCGACATAGATACTTCTATTTTCAAGGAACTTTATAAGCCGCAAGAAAACAAATCAACTCTTTGTTATCTCCATATTTAAGCCAACGTAATAGCGTAGTAAAAGCCTAGGTATCGTTACAGAAAAACTTTTCAGAAAATACAATAAGGTTTCTTAAGTTGCAATCAGCAATTCTTATGCAGTTATGTCAAGTTTTTGCCTTGTGAAACAAAAGCTCATCTGTCAGGGAACCAAGGACCCGTCAGAAAATAAGGAAATGCCACAGCCAGGCCTAGACAGCACTCGGGAAAACCTGTCCTCCAAACAGCTCGCCTCAGAGTTCTGTCCTTCCCCTTCCCCAGTGCTGATGTCGACTCCACCCGCAGGTAAATGACAGCGGGTTCCGTCCACGCCTCTCCGGGCCGGGACCCCTCCAACCCACCGGGGAGCTTCCAGCACCTGCGGCCCCAGCCCTCCTCTCCGCGGCGGCCACGGGACCATCCCGAGTTCTACCCCGCCTCGCCGCCCCGCCCCGCCCCGCGCCCCCGGCAGCCTCGCAACCGGCCGGCCGAGCGGAAGGCGCCACGGGGCCTGCAGGTTCGCGCTGGGCACTGCCAGGCTGGACCGGAGAAGCTCTCCCAGGGCGGGGCAGCGACGGGCTGGGGGCGCGCACCGACTCGGCCGTCACTTACCAGCGCCTCATGGTACCGCGGCGCCTCAGCCCAACCCTGGCGCTGACGAACCGCGCCGGCAGCCTAGAGCGTCCCTCGGGTCCCGGGCCGGGCCCCACTCAGAGCCATTCAAATGCGGCCGCGCGCGCGGCCCGCCGGGATAGCTACTGCTGTGGATGCCTCGCGGCTCCGCCCAGCGCTGACTCCGCCCCTCTTGCGTCGGGAACGCTCGGGGGCGGAGGGAGGACGTGTGGCGACAGTGCCCTCTGGTGGCTAGAAGTAGAGACACATACGGTAGCCTTGCTAAGGTACGTCGAGTAATAATGGTATAAGAACTGAAGGTGGATTAAAGTCAACGAATGACCCTGCGCTAGGGAACGTCTAGTGGGGGAGTCCGTGCCTAAGAATTGTACCGGGAGGTGCAAATAATATGCTATAAAAATATGGTTCAGGGAGAGATTTATTCATTCACTCCCATTTAAATACGCTAAGGCACAGTATTTATTACGCATAAAAGCATGGACTCTGGCATTAAGTGACCTTGAGCAAGTCACATGAGCTCCTCTGCTTTTCTTTCTCCATCTGTAAGTAACAATAGTATCTGCCTCTTATTGTTGTGAGGACTAAATAAATTAATACATGTAAGATGCATAAAAGAGTGTCTGGCATGGGGTAAGCAACACATAACTGTTAGCTATCATTCTAAATTTCCTCTCTGTGCCAATCTTTGTGCTGGACTTTTAAGGACGCAGGAAATGTACATGGTGTAGAACTTTTTTTCCTCAGGAAGCAGACTTGGTCTGGGATGGGAGACACTAAATTAGAGTATGAGGTTAGAGTTAGTCTGGCACAGATGTACTTTTAATTACCGAGAGCAATTCTCTTCATCTTAGTGGAACCAGAGTCAAAAGTAAGCCACAGGTCAAGGTTAATCAAATTATGACAGGAGCAAATTTGCCTTTGGTAGTCCTCTCACCCCTTGCAGAACAAAATCAAACAGGGTATTTGATGGAACACTTCCTCACCACAAGACTCTACATCCCTGGGCTTGATTTTTTTTAGTGTAGGCACTCCTTTTCAGAAGTCTCCAGGGTTTGCCTAAGGAACAGGCTGCTTGAGTTTGGCTCAACAAAATATTTGAAGCTTCACTATGTGCCAGGGCAAACACTGTGCCCAGGCTGGAAATAGCCTGAGGCAGCTCACAATGGCTTGGACAAACAGGAGAAGAGATTATTGCTATACACAGCAGTGAGTGCAATGATAAAAGGTGTATCCTAAATGCTGCACAAGTCAGAGCCTGTTAGATAAGCTAATCAGAGCTAAGATGTCATTAGGTGATTAAAACTTAATGTATTTTCCTCCTGGTAACAAAATCTTACTTAATCCAAAAAATTAAGTAATGGTGAAAACTGAAGAACCACTTTATGGCAGTGGGAAAATATTTTTAGGATATTTTGCAGAAGTAACACCCATGAGCACTTCACTGATTGTACCAAGCACAGGCAGGCACATGCCTATGTATGGAGGAGCCATACCTGTTAACAGATGGAACTGTTGTGAGCAAAGGGAGCTGGAGCCCTGGGTTCCAAGGGTATACTATTCCCTGAGTATGACTTCTGCTAAGTAGGTGGATTGTTTTTAAACAAAATAAAAATTCAATACACATGGGTGAAATCACTCTCTCAAGCCATTTCTTCATCATCATAAACAGGAATGTTTTGATAACCTGCTATACAAAAGGCATTGTACTGGTCCCTCACCAGAAAATGATGGTAAAAAGAATATTGTAACACATTCTTTACCCTCAAAGGAGGCTGGGTGATAAAGGAAGATAAGTAACTCAAGGAATCTGCTGTTAACACAGAAGAATCTCAGATAAAACAAGGCCTCCAGTTGCCTGAAGGCCACAGGAAAACTTCAATGTTCTCATTTTTGGAGCTTGTTAGGGCTCAAGGTCTCAGGCAGATTCATCTCCAAACCCAGGTTATAAACTTTATGCCAGTAATAAGCAACCCAGGACCCCAGATCTCTAATTTAACATAAAAATAAAGAAAATTGCCTTTGTATTGCTACTTTTGGAATATATACAAATAATACCATTTTAGTGACTAAAAAAATGAAGGTCAAGGTGTATCCTAAATGCTGTACAAGTCAGAGCCTGTTAGATAAGCTAATCGGAGCTAAGATGACAAGTGTAACAAAAAATAACCCTGTCTCTTCTAAAAATAAAAAAAATTAGCTGGGCATTTTGTGGCAGTTGCCTATAGCCCCAGCTATTCAGGAGGCTGAGGCAGGAGGATCCCTTGAACTCAGGAGTTTAAGGTTGCTGTGAGCTAGGCTAATGCCATAGCACTCAAGCCTGGGAGATAGTGAAACTCTGCCTCAAAAAAAAAAAAAAAATTGCAAGTCAATTTCTTTCTTCTTTTTTTTTTTTTTTTTCTGTTTTTGGCTAGGGTTAGTTTTGAACTTGCCACCTCTGGTATATGGGGCCAGCACCCTACTCCTTTGAGCCACAGGCGCTGCCCTGCAGTCAGTTTCTTCACTGATACTTTTCTTTTTCCTTTCTTTCTTTCTTTCTTTTTTTTTTT